TTAAGCAGAAGCTTTTTTAAAAAATTTTGTACATCACACCTCTTCTTTTTAAAACGTTTAATATTACTGAGAGACGTTCGTTTAAGGCGTTCGCTTTTACTAACGTTAAAATATGTTATGATAGTAAGATAACGTTTATCAAATCGACCGAACTTTGTTACGTATCGTGTTTAGTTATTGTATAACAAAAAATAAAAGAGAACCCTTGAAATATTTCAACCCTATTTAAATGAAAAGAAGAAAAATATATTTGTGTCTTTTTTTTTATTATGTATATATACAAAGGGAGAAAAATGGCGTTTCTATTAAGTTTTAAAAATTATATAACAAATCAACAACCCTAACAAAAGCAACCCGATGAAATTGATGAATTTTATTACGAAAAAAATCTTAATAAAAAAAAAAAAAGGTAATTTTTTTATGTACATAATTTAAAAAAAAAAACTTTTTATGATAGTTTATGATTTATTAAAAAGAACACAAAGTGAATACATGAAAGATTTTTTTTTATGGTAAAATGAAAAAGTTTTTTTATCTCTCTCTCTCTACTGATAAATCAATTCACCCTTACTCCCTCTCATTTTTTTTTTTTTTGTTATCAATGGAAAATGACATTTAGTTAATGTTGGATTTAAAACCATTACAAAAAAATATTATTCAAATGTGTGTGTGTATACCTTTATAAAATATTAAGAAGATTATTATTATTATTATTATTATTATCCTTTTTTTTTTAAGTCAGATGCTGGTACTTAAGCAATGATTGGCAAGCACAAATGGAAAGAGTGAGAGAGAGAGAGAGAGAAAAGGTATCATCTGATAAAAAAAGGAACACTTTTGTAAAATTTTGATGATTTTAAATGACTTTTGATGTTTTACAACCCAAATTAAATTAAATTAAATTAAAATTTTTTCTTTTCTTTTGTTATTAATAAATTAATTAAATACCACACATCATGTACCTTAGGCACAGGTTGAGAAAAGGGGGGCACTAATCTCAAATCTACATTTTTTTGTACCATAAAAAAATCGTTTTCAGGGGGTTACATTAAATTATTTAGAATAAAACTAATTTTTCTGTAGTAAATCCAATCGCAAAGTGTTTTGTTTGTGTGTTTGTTTGTTTGTTACATTGATAAACAATTGTTTGTACGAAAAAAAAAATTATTATTATTATAATAAAATTTAAATCGATGAATATCGAAATTTGAATAAGTGGAAAGAATAATTTTTTTTTTTTTTTTTTGTGAATGTAATTTAAAACTGTAACATAAAGATCGTATGTTGAACAGATGCCTCCCCACCCCTCCCTTAATAATACGTGCTGATGCAATAAAAGGGTCTTCATTATTACTTTAAAACGTTTTTTATAAAAAAAAATAAAATAAAATAAAAAAACATTAATCCTTACTTAGTTTGTTAGTAAGGAATGGTTTAAAAATTCAATCTCACCCCCTTTCTAATAAGTTTCTCTCTCTCTCTCTCTCTCTCTCTCTCTCTTATGTAATTTTTTATTTATTTATTCATAGCGTTCATCTTTTTTTATCAAGTTAATGACCTCGTAGCAGCCGAAAAAGAAAAAAAAATGCCACGAAATGATGTTCGATTGATTTAATTTTAACTAACATCACCTAATAATTCGATTATTATTATTATTACATTTTATTACTCTCGTTGATTGTTTTTATGGGGTTTGAACTTTGACCCTTTGATATTTGGCACCTTTATTTCGAGAACAATCCAAGATGGTGACGGTGTCACGATGACTAATTCGACTACAGTCGAACTAATTTTTTTTTTTTACTTAGTATCAAATTGACATGGAGAAAATAAATTTTTTTTTTCGTTTTGTTTTGGTAACACTTTAATAAACAATAGCGTTATTATTATTATTATTTTTTAATAAAAAACATCCGTTTCGTGAGTCAGCACAACAACAACAACAACAAAGTACCCCCCAAAGTATTTAGCATAACTTGTAATAATGAAAAAAATTAATCATTTCGAGTATTATTATCGAATTTTATTATTTACGACCAAACCCAAAAACGTTATACCAGAAAACAAAGAAAAGAAGAAGACAACAACAACAAACATTTTTTTGTTTGTTCCTTTCCCCCCTTCCCCCACTAAGAATTGCAACAACAACAACAACAATCTTATACGAAATCGATTTTTTTTTTCCTTTTCGAAAGGATTTGAAATTAACGACGCGTAAGGATACCAAGATGAAAATTTAAATTATTATTATTATTATTATTAGTTATGATGTGTGCCATCACGCGTGGTATGTTTTAGGCACACGTGGAATCTCCATAATGTCCGAATATTTAAATTGATTCACAATAAAACACATGTTTGGGATTCTAAGAGAGAAAATAAAACATGGTTGACGATAACGTAAAACGGGTCACATAATTTTAGGAATTACTAAAATTAGTTTTATACTAATTTCAAATGATGATTCCTTTTTTTTTTTGAATCATTAAATTTAATTAGTATTGTTGAAGAATTTTTATTGCAGTTAAACGGCGCCATGATATTATTCGACCGAATGATTGGGCCCCCTTTTCTCCCTCCCCTCCCTTCCCTTCTTCTCTTTTAACCTTCTTATTTATTTTTATTTCGCATAATTTTTATTTATTATTATTATTTGCAAATTTAATGGCTCGGTTTTTTTTTTTTTTTTGTAATTTCCGGTTGAAATGTCTATTCATTTTTTATGATGAATGTTTCTTTTTTTAAGAAAAATTCATCGTAAAATTTCATTATCATTTATTTACTTTTATATTATGACGTCATTAATATTATTAATTAATAATTAATTAATTTTATCAAAATGAAATTAAATCCGTACATACGTCGTAACTATTTTTTTTTTTTAAAATTTTACTTGAGTTGTAAATTAGCGCGCCTTTTTTTACAAAATAAAAATGGCTACGTATGAGACGTGGTTTTAGAAAATGTATCACGTGACTAAGTAAATAATGAAATTACGTTAAACGCCGAAAAATTCGAACAAAACATTTTTTTATTTTTACGTATTCATCAATTTCGTTAACTTACGCATAATAATAATAATAATAATAATAATAATAATAATAATAATAATAATAATAATAATAATAATAAATGATAATAAATAAATAAATTTCGTTATAAATTTTCCGATTCATTTTTTTTCATCGTTTTTTCTTTTTTTCCCATTCGTTTTTTTAACGGTTTTAGGTTTTAACCTTTTTTTATTGAATATTAAAATTTTGTCTTTAAATTTTGACACATCGCTTATAGCCATAGCAACACCCAAAACGGGTAAAATTGCTTTATTAGAAGGATTTAATACGAACAAACCATTGTCTTGTCTTTTTACGTATTGTTTCCTTTGACAATCCTCGTTTCCCTCGTTTGTTTTCCTATTATTATCGTTTTGTTTGTCTTTATCATTTGTCGTAACTATTTTATCACTTAAAAAATACAAACCGGATCTAAGCGTTAATTTGCTAGGTTCGATACCACGTGGAAATTTAAAATAAGCATTGTAACGAAGTTTATTACGACATTTTTTCGATTTTTTACCCGATGATAAAATTTTAACCAAACAATCAAACGGAACTGGTCGTTTTTTATTATTCCTATCCGAAACCCTTCTAAGCACTTTCGATGTTTTATTTTTGTCTTTAATTTCAATCAAATCCATTTATCAATTTTGATATATGTATATCATCATCCAAAATAAAAATAAATTACTTTGTCCAATCGTTTTGTCAAATTTATTATGTAATAAACAACATTTGAAAAAATAAATAATAACTTTTAAATACGGTAGTGCCAACTTTTTTTTTTTTAAAAAAAAATTACGAACGTGGAAGGAAGAAAACGTCTTTGTCAATTTTTTTTGTTTTGTTTTGTATGAATTTTATATATAGTTTGATGGAATCGAATCAAAACAATTTTTTTTTTTTTAAAAAAAAAAAACGCGGTTTAACGCGGCGTAAAAATTATTAAATTGACGTGTTGAAAAAATAAATGTTTAATCAAGCACAAAAATAATATTAAAGGTGTTTTCGATTTTGATTATGACGGGTAAAAAAGGTACATAATCTCATACAGGTATTTTTTGTGTGACTTTTTTTTTTCCCCTAATTGAATGTTATTTATTTTTTTTTGAAAATATTTAAAACGGTAGCCGGTTTATTTTTTAGTACGTTACACCTGTCTACTGATAGATAAATCAAGAATAAAATTAACCGAACGTTTATTTTAATAATAATAATAATAAAACTTTAATGGAAATCAATCGATAAAAAAGTTTTTCGCGAATCGAACCCATAATTAATGAGAAAATTTTTAAATCGTTTTATGAAAAAATGGTTTCCGATCAAATTTAAAAATTTTAAAATTGTTTAGCTTTTGAATTAATTCATTCATTAAACAAAGGGTGGTAGGAAAAACAAGTGCAAATCCGCCATTTTTTTTTTTAAAATAATATTATAAGATCATGAATGAAACCTCCCACCAAAAATAAAAAGTTTTATGCATTAAATTGCATTTGTTTGAGTTCGTGTGTGGTTAAACATAAATTTAAAAAAAAAAAAAAAACTTCTTCGCCCCGTGTTTATAATAATAATAATAATAATAATATTTTAATAAATTTTTTTTTCAATGTTAAATACGTAACCCCTTGTTCCCCCCCCCTTTTTTTTTACAAACAAGATTTACAACATTGTTATATGGCTAATATTTGAAAATTTAAAATCAGGAGGGGGGCCCTTTTCATTTTATTAAATCTCTCTCTCTCTCTCTCAATTTCTCAGCATGTGAATTTGAAAATAAAAATTTTCACGTCTTAATTAAAACTAATAATAATAATAATAAGCTATTATTAAACTCTATTAATAATTAATAAAATATTTATTTATTTATTTACGATAAACGAATTTATTTTTAATTTTTTTTTTAACAAAAGAAAAAAATGAGGGAGTTTATCAATATCACGTGTTGTCACGTGTATGTGTGCGTGGTTTATTTTGCCAAATTTTTAAACGTCCTATTATTATTATTAATAATATTTTTTAATGAAAAGGATTTTAATAAAGAAAAAAAAAAAATTTTGTGGGGTTGTTGTTGAATGATAGACAAAAAAAAAAGAAAAAGATTGAAAAATAACAAAAGAAGAATAGGAAAAACTAAAAAGCATCCTTCATCTACTAAAAGATGAAAAGATTTTTATATATAGTGAATTAGTTTTTAATTTTTTTTGGCATTTTTTTTTTTAAATGGAATCATTTGACTGTAAATTTTTTAGTATTATTATTAATACTTTAAATTTTATTTTTTTTAAACTAAATATTACTAAATATATATATATATAAAATATCAAATTTTTTTTT